ATTCGCGGAAAGTTAGTGTGGCTAGAGATACTATTCTATGCGAAGGCAATTTCGTTAATTGCATACGATATGCACCGTTCCACAGTGCCGCCGAAATCAAAAAGTGCGGCCAAAATTCGAAGCTTTGAAATAATGATTTGAAATTTCGTACCAGGGGGTTTTCGGGGTCACTAATTACTAATCCCCTGGCAGAATTGTAAAATTCAAAATGGCGGATCCAGTATGGCGTCTGGTAAATTTTGAGCTTTTTAATTAGATATCTTAGAAAGATTTTGAGTACGCAGTTTTATAGCCCATTCAATTTTAGTGCAACAAAGTCCAAGTTTGAAGCAGCTAGGACTTACTGTTGATTTTTGAAAATTTCTTTTGTTGACGGTGCCAGTCATTTTCTTCCATACCAAGTATATTCTATGATATAAAGAACATGAGCAACACCTTCCACAAAAAAAAAATTCAAAAATCAACCGTAAGTCTGAGCTACTTTCAGCGTGACTTTGTTATACTTAAGTTAAATCTGCTACAAAACTGCATACTCAAAATCTTTCTGTGAAATCTAGTTAAAAAGCTGGACATTTTTACATACAGGTGAAACTAATATGTATAAGCGTGTAAAAAAAACAAACAAAAATATAAGAGGCAGAGATGGGCATCTGAGTTTTGTTTTATTCTGTAGCTAATACTTTCCTACGTAAACTCTAATAGGTTTAAAAGCAGCATTCGACAGCGTTTTGTTTCTGTTGCGTTTAACAACTCACATTTGGTTTAGAACTAAACGAAAAAAATACCTTTACATTTTTAATCCTTAAAAATTTCTGGTACAGTATTAGTTTTCACAAGTTTTTTTTATGTATTTTACTAACCTTCGGACGTAGAATCAATTTGGTTTTGTTTGATTTTCTATTCTCTAACTACTTATACGTTAATAGCTTTTCGCTTTTTATTACAATAACGTTGTGCTTGGGAGAAGTCACACTACAAATGAATATAAAGAGAGGACTTAGGGTACAGGTCGTTACAGTAAACAGATTTCTCTTCTTAGGTGATCCCTTTAGCCAACTCAATGTCAAAAAAGGCCTATCTAGAAACTTTATTTTCTCGAATTTTGGCCGCACTTTTGGGATTCGGCCGCACTGTGCGTTCATTCGATTTTAAAGAATGAGGTGTCAAATGAAAGGGCTTGGCCTCTAGATATGAAATAAGTTTTTATTTTTTCAGTAGGATTGCCACCTTTTTAAAAATTATAAAATCTGCAGGGACGTTGGATTAAAAAAAATAAGGTGTCAAATGAAAGAGCTGGGCCTGAATACGTACAATAAGGATTTATTTTTTGAATACAGTTGCCGCATATCTACAAAATTATAATATTTACATCCTTTGCATGATTTTCAAAAATGAGGCGACAAATGAAAGGCCTTGGCCTCTAGATATTAAATAAGTTTTTATTTTTTGAATACAGTTGCCGCATATCTACAAAATTATAATATTTACATCCTTTGCATGATTTTCAAAAATGAGGCGACAAATGAAAGGCCTTGGCCTCTAGATATTAAATAAGTTTTTATTTTTTTAATAGGATTGCCACCTTTTTAAAAATTATAAAATCTGCACGGTGCTTTGGATTAAAAAAATAAGGCTTCAAAAAAAGGGCTGGGCCTGAAGACGTACAATAAGGATTTATTTTTTGAATAGAGTTTCCGCCTGTCTGCAAAAGTATAATATTTACATCCTTCGCATGATTTTCAAAAAAGAGGTGTCAAACGAAAGGGCTTGGCCTCTAGATATGACATAAGTTTTTATTTTTTTTAATAGGGTTTCCACCTGTCTAAAAATTTGTAATATTTACACTGTTCACACGATTTTCAATAGTGAGGTGTGCAATAAGGGTTCTTTTCTGAACAGGGTTACAATATTTTTATAAATTTTAAATTCTGGACAGTTCATTGGATTAAAAAAAAAATTAGGTGTCAAATGAAAGGGTTACGCTTCTGTATGTAAAATATGGTTTCATTTTAATCTTTTTGAAATTTCATTTAAAGTATTATTTATTTCCGCACTTACATTTATGTATTGGTAAGTATGTATGTATGTACATGAAAATAATTAAATTAAAACTGATAAAGATAATTTATATTTTATGTACATAAGTATGTATATTTATTTAATTCTGCACTTAAATTTGTATATGAATATATATATATATATGTGTGGCAATACAAACTGATTAAAACCAAACAGTCTTGCTTAGTTGAAACCATATTTTACATATAGAGGCATAACCCTTTCATTTGACAGCTAATTTTTTTTAATCCAACGATCGGTCCAGATTGTAAAATTTTTTAAAATATTGTAACCCTGTTCAAAAAAAGAACCCTTCTTGCACATCTTTAGATTCCTCTTAGATAGCCTCTTCGTTTGACACGTCACTATTGAAAATCGGGTGAACAGTGTAAATATTACAAATTTTGACAGGTGGAAACCCTATTCAAAAAAAACTTATTTTATATCTATAGGCCAAGCCCTTTCGTTTGACACCTCATTTTTGAAAATCATGCGAAGGATGTAAATATTAAACTTTTGTAGATAGGCGGAAACTCTATTCAAAAAATAAATCCTTATTGTACGTCTTCAGGCCCGGCTCTTTTATTTGAAGCCTTATTTTTTTAGTCCAACGCACCGTGCAGATTTTATAATTTTTAAAAGGTGGCAATCCTATTCAAAAAATAAAAACTTATTTCATATCTAGAGGCCAAGCCCTATCATTTGACACCTCATTTTTGATAATCGAATTAACGGTGCAAATCTTAAAGCGCAGTTATCCACGGACGTAAAAATGGAGAACGTGTCAGCTGACACGATCTATATTATGAGAACGCCGTGTAAATGAAAACTCATCAACGTAGAATTTTTCTGTAGACGTAGACGTTGACGTAGAAATCTGTGAGAATTAGATTTTTCCGTAGAAACGTGTCAGCTGATTTCTCTCTCTCTCTCCTGCTCTTTGCTCAGAGTTGCCAGTACACAATTTTTGAAGTTGTTTTGAATGAAGCTCAGAAATATTTAAGTTATCCTAAATATAATAAACAATTTCTATTGAAAACAGTATTTTATAAAATATTATGCTTTCTGTGTGTTTGTATTATTACTTTCTATCGTTTAAATTATCAAAAATGGTTACTTAAATGATAAATGTTAGCAAAAGCTTGCGTACATATGAATCACTGGCAACTCTGCGTAAATGTGAACAAAAAATACAATAAAGAAGAAAGAAACCGACGCGCTGCAACTATAATTTGTATAAATTTTAGTGGACGATGAAAAGCTAATTCTTTTCGTACAAAATAATAAGGAGTTGTACGACAAACGCAACCCCTGCTATAAATTAGCCAGCAGGAAGCAAATGCTGTGGGAGCAAATCGCCAGGGAGCTCAATTCGATAGGTAAGTCGAAATTTAAGTAAAGTATGTAAAACTATAACATATGTAAACTAGAGTGGTTAACATTTTTTTTTTTGGAAATTGTGATAAAAAAAGAGAAACGGGTTTTTTTATTTTGAAAAAAAAAAAAGTTTTTTTAGAGGTCGCGCTGGTCAGTTTTTAACACCAATAATTTCCTCGCACAGCCTCTGTGTGAGAGCAAGTGAGACAACTTGCTGTGAGACAAAACGCTTTTATTAGCTTCACCTGTATGTATGTATGTGTGTATGCATGTATGTATGTATGTATGTATGTATGTATATAACCGACTCCATTGGACTCAATTTTGACCCACTTTAAACGGACAGATTTAATTCAAACTTTGTACACTTATCAAGAATCAGCGACAATATAATAATTTCATAAGTTTATCTCATTATCCTGATTAGGATCGCCAGGATTAAATAATTTCCTCACACAGCCTCTGTGTGAGAGCAAGTAAGACAACCACGCTGTCTGCGCATGCGTACCGTCTACTTACTTTCCGGCTCGAGCACTCGAGCATTTCGAAAAAATTTTATTTTTAACAATAAATCGAACTAAAAAATTAAAAATAAATATAGTTTAAAAAACTAAAAAACACGTTTTTCAAGCATATCAAACTAAAAAGTAAAAAATAATTCTTAATATAAGTTGAAAATAATAATGAACAAAAAATACTAGTATTATGTGAAAAAGCGTGAGGCGCTCTTTGCCATATTTTTCGTCTATCGAGCAGCCCACACTTTTTCACAATAATACTAGTATTTTTTGTTCATTATTATTTTCAACTTATATTAAGAATTTTTTTACTTTTTAGTTTGATATGCTTTAAAAGCGTGTTTTTTAGTTTTTTTAAACTATATTTATTAATAAAAACTTTGATGTTCGCATTTTTTTCCTTGACATGTTAAAATGCTGCTAAAAATGTGGTTTTTACATATAATTACTCTGGTATTATTGGGGAACATTCTCTTAATTACATACCTCTCCTGGACAGTTAAAAAGGGCCTAGTTCCCGAAAATGTGCTCTCGAAAACAAACTACTAAAATTAAAACGTTGATACTGAACGATTTACGCATTGCCATGGATTGGAAATTGTTACCAGGGGTTTTTAAGGGTTAGTAATTAAGAATCTAAAGTCAGTATTTCAAAATTCAAAATGGCGGATCCAAAATGGCGATCCATTTTTTAAAAAATGATTGCATTTGTTCGAAACCCGGAATCAGGGAGTTTTTGGGGCCGCTGATTACGAATCTGAAGCCAATTTTTGTAAATTCAAAATGGCGGATCCAATATGGCGATCAAATTTAAAAAGAAATTACTAAAATTTAAACATTGGTACTGAACTTTTTAAGCATTGTCAATGATTGAAACTCATTTCCAGTGGGTTTCTGGGGTTGCTGATTACGAATCTGATGTCAGATTTTCAAAATTCAGCGACCCCTAAAACTCCCGAGTGCCGGGTTTCGAACAAATCCAACAATTTTTCTAAAAATGTATCGCCATTTTGAATTTTGAAAAACTGAGTTCATTTTCCTAATTAGCAACCCCAGAAACCCCCTGGTAACAAGTTTCAACAGAGAGGTACTTCGATTATTGAAGCCGCACGTTGCTCCTCGCCCGTAAGTTTCACAAAAGAGTATGTATGTATGTATGTACAAATGCACATGCATATGTATGTATGTATAAATGAGTATGTAAATATTTGTAATTATTTCCAGATTTCGGTGTTCGAGAAATATTTGTCCAGCATCTTCGCCATCAACGGGGATTACTCGGAGTCTGCCCCAGCTATTGCCATCGCCACCAGTCCCAGTGCAGTTACTCATCGCCGTCGCCTCCGACAACAGTTTCGCTGCCCTCACCGTCGCCGCAAATTCAAGTGCAACTACCATCGCCGTCGCCTCCGACAACAGTTTCGTTGCCCTACCCATCGCCGCCAATTCAAGTGCAACTAACATCGCCGCTGTTTTCATCACTATTATCATTAGTTGCGTTTTTTTACTCATTTCCAGTAAAAGTTTTTACGAATTTTCATGTTTTGGCGTTTTCGTACGCAAAAACTTGCAAAGTGGGGGAAATTGAGAGAGCGAAAAATGACAGTTGAAGTTGCAAGTTTTTACTGGATTTTACTGGATAAATTTTTACTTGTAAGAATTTGCCAGTAAGAAAAACAGCTGATCGCATGTTGCTGGATGAAATTTAAACTAATAAGGAAACTGTTGGTGGGTTTTTATTGTTGAATTTCACAAAATAAACCTATTTAAATACAAAATATATTGTTTTATTAGGAATTTACTGCGAATAAACAACCAATTTATCAGCTGTTCATGAAACTTGCAAATTATTACTGGAAAAGCGTTCGCGTACTTGCAGACTGCGTTTAAGTATACGTTCTGCGTTCTCGACTAATTTCAGCTTTATGCAATTAACAAAATTGCCTTCGCATTGAATAGTATCTCTAGCCACACCAACTTTCCGCGAATGTTTGACGCAGCATTTACATACACTTATGAACGAGAACGACAGCAGTGAATGTTCGCGAAGGCATCGATGCCACTGATAGCTACATATATGAACGCACGCTGTTTGGTCAACCATACGGTTTCAGTTTAATAACATCAAATTTGAATATTCGAACGGCTTTTGCCTATAAATTAAAATTCTTTTTTCACAATTTATTGATATTGGAAAAGAGTTTTTCATAAAAGACATAGAGTTAGATACTCTTACTAGCGAATTCTTAGTCTTGCAAAGTTTTTGCTTAGTTGAAAAAATTAATTTAAGGCATGAGGAAATATACATAGATGAAGTCATTAAATAGTGGTACTTTTCCACAGTTTGTAAAAAATATGTAATTTTGTTTTTTCTTTTTCAACACCATACTCAAAGGAAGCAACTGAGAGGATCTTAAGTAGAAAGTTTGCTTCCTTGCGGAAAGAGAGAAGTCGGCTTCTAAATAAAATTTTTTAAAGTGAACTTCAAATTAAAAGTAATTTTAAAATGGCTTGTATAGAATTCATTGACTGACACTGAAGATGGAAATGATCTCATTGGGCACGTTCAGAAGACGCAACAGTTTAGTAACTGTTGCGATTGCACCTTCTAAACGCGTTGTTGTGTACTTCTGATCAGCTGAACAGTTGCGTGTTAGATGATCGTAATATATTTCTGATCATTTGAGGCAACATGTTGTGTGTTGTTGAATTTGACAGATAATGTATCAAGCCGTTCAGAAGACGCATTACGATCACTGATTTCTTTAGCAACGGTTGCGCTCAACTGCTTCGCCTTCTGAACCTACCTATTATTGCTTTTTAAAAATGTCATAAATATAAAATTATTTATTATGATGTGTACACTAGGGTGGTGCAAAAACAGTAAAGTCGGAATTTTTATGCTCTCACCCCCATGGATTGTTCTACATCGAAAAAAAGTATACCCTTATCTTTTTATTTTGAAATCAAAAAATATTTAGAGGTCACTCAAAGCGCCCAAAGTTTTCCATGTATTTTATGAGATCATTTCCATCTCATGTTAAAATGAATAACACTTATATTTTTATTAACAATTTTTTTATTTATATACCAAAATATTGTTAAAAGCAAGTACTCTGGCGTTTTAAAGTATCATCTGTTACTTACATTCATAATTTTGCTTTGAATAAATATGTACTGAAAAGGACTGATTTTTTTAGCATGAAAAAGTCTAACGTACTGATTTCGCGCATAAAAATTCTGGTAACCCTAGTCTACCAATACATACGCGTACGAACGACAGCGGAAATGTTTTCTACATAACATTCGCGAACGCAAACGATCTGGACTTGTTTTATGCTTCTCGCTCACGAAGGAGAATCAATAGGCAATTTTGATACGTTCAAGCTCTGAACACATCGAAAACGACGTCACCACACGACACGACATTAAGGTTTTATCTACATAATCTAAACCCCTTGTCGACGGCGACATGATTTTTTTGAACGCGGCAGCGACATTAATTTGTTTGAGTTTGACATAAAAGAAGAGGAAGAATCATATCTGTCGCTAGAAAAATAGAAATAGATCCAATCTGGCCACAGCTACATTTTTGACTAGTCGCAGTGTTGCCGTGTCGTTGCCAAAATAATTATCTACATAAGAGTACGTGATAAAACTATTTGACAGCTGTGGTCCATAGCCCGTCGTTTCCAATGTGTTTCAAGCTTCACGTTCGCGTACGAAGGTGAGTGAATATTTCCGAACCCTGGTTTTCACGATTGAGCTTAATGAAGTTAAGCATGTATTGTCAAAGATTAGGAATCGTTTGATAAGTTAATAGTAGTTTCCAGCATATACTTACATTATTTATTACATTAAAAAAAAAAAAAAAAAAATTAAAAATTAAAAAAAAAAAAAAAAAAAAAATTAAATTAAAAATTGGTGCGGTATGGTATAAATATTATAGTTAATTCCATTATGTGAAAAAGTGACAGTAGTCTTTAACATATCCTGGGAAATCCTTTTGAGGACTCTCCAATTGGAAGATTTTGCTTTGCGTTCAGCTTGAGCGAAAAAAGTCGCACGCCGACACACTTTTCTGTAACTTTGGTAAATGTTACATGATGTAATATGATGAAAATCGTTCAGATTATAAACAAATTATTTTAAAATAAATAAAAAAATGTTGAAAAAAATTTTTTGTCATTTCCCTATATTTGCAATTTTTATATTGTATGCATAAACATAAGTAAACTAATTAGTGTTTCCAGAAGTATTGCCTGTTCAGTGTTCCCATACTCATTTTCATAAACAAAATTTTTCCACGATGATGGAAAATAATGGCTTTTCTATTAGAGCTACCGATATCGTTCCCAAATTTGCAAAAATTCACAAACTGTAGCTAATATTAAAAAAAAGATTAATATATTTGGGATCAGCGGTCTAAATGCACGCCAGCAATATTAATGTTGTTCTCTGCATCTTTTGACTATAGGCCAGTGCAATAATCAACAAAACAATTACAATTTGGTTGAAAACCAGATAAGTTTGAGATTAACGATAGGCTAAAGGTCTGCGAGAACTGATATTTGACTTTATCTTTTGCGTTAACGGATTCATTATCTAATAATATGCAGTAAACATTTTTGCTGAACCCAGAATTTTTAATCAGAGTTGGTTTTATTCGACTAGTGTGCGGTGGGACACTTGGCGGTTGATACGCTCTTACAATTAAAATAAAATACTAATATTTTGCAGGCTTGTTGTTGACTTCATGATATAATATATTTTCACTATTACCAAGGGATTTGAAGAAAATTAGATTTTTGACCCGCCCTAATGAGCAGTTTCAGTTGAAGACTGCAAGAATGCATATTAGAAAATCCGAAATTATGCACATGAGAACAACGAAGTAATGCATACATGCACAGTTTCGACTCAAAGTCGAAATAATGCATATGACAAACCGAAATAGTGCATACATGAAAACGAACTCTTCCTGCGTAGGCGGCATTCGGCCGCGCTTACGGATTATGACCCTTACTCAGTAGAGTTCTCCTTTCTCTGTTGCCGGGAAAGGGGGGTAGAATTTTTTTTGCGCACAACTTCTTTCTGCGTAGGCGGCCTTCTGACCCGCTTAGGGATTATAACCCTTACTAAGTAGAGTTATCCTTTCTGTGTTACCGGAAAATGGCGGTGGAAGTATTTTTCCTCAGAACTTCTTTCTGCATAGCGGCCTTCGGCCGCGCTTAGGGATTATAACCCTTACTAAGTAGAATTCTCCTTTCTGTGTTACCGGAAAAGAGGGGCGGAGGTATTTTTGCGCGTAACTTCTTTCTGCGTAGGCGGCCTTCTGCCGCGTTAGGGATTCTAAGTAGAACTCTCCTTTCTGTCTTACCGGAAAAGAAGAGCGGAAGTATTTTTGCCAAGAACTTCTTTCTGCGTAGACGACCCTCGGCTCGCTTAGGGATTATAACCCTTACTAAGTAGAATTCTCCTTTCTGTGTTACCGGAAAAGAAGGGCGGAAGTATTTTTGCGCAGAACTTCTTTTTGGGTAGGCGGCCTTCGGCTGCGCTTAGGAAATTCTCCTTTCTGTGTTGCTGGAAAAAGGACGGAAATAGTTTTGCGCAGAACTTAGTGAAAACCGAAAAAATGCATACGAGAAAATACGGAAATTATGCATGTACATACTTTCGTTCTAAAAGCGAAATAATGCATATGGAAAAAAACGAAGTGATGCATACATGCACAGTTTCGGTTGAAAACCGAAATAATGCATATGGCGAAAACCGAAATAAAGCATACATGCACAGTTTCGGTTGAAACCGAAATAATGTCTAAATGCATAGTTTCCATATGCGCAATTTCAGTGCCCGATTTGTTTTGTGCTTCCAGAGCTTCTTCTGAGAATTGACCATAGGTAACAAAGCGTGGGATATTATCTCTGATGCATGGACGAAGTATTTGTGTAGTGATGGGGGCATTTTGTCATCCTCCGTATACCCGAAACTGTGTTAGTTAAAAATATCATCACTATCATTATTTCTATTCACTGCACATGTCATTCAGGCATAGAAGTAGAAATACTATAAACAATAACAAGGATAGCAATTTACTGTAAAAATACGAAATATCAATCTTCGCGGTTTCACATAAATCATTGAGCAAATAAATAACGACATTCTGAGGGCCAGTTTTTCAGTAAATGGCTGTGGTTTAAACTTAGTTTAAACGTTCGAGCTGGATGGTTTAAACTAAGATTAGCCAATCAAATGTCAGTCAGCTATGTATATAAATTTTTTTGATACCGGCAAGTACAAAAATCTCGCATTTGAAACAAAACAGTATTTAGCCTACTTTTGATGATAGTATAAGTATGTACTCAATAGCAACATATGCCGAAAGTAGGGTAAAAAAAATATATATATATATATAAATATATAGTAGCTAAGCAAACAACGAAGACAATAACAATATTACTTT